CCAGTTATTTGTAGTCTTTGCTGTTAACTTCAGCACAGCAGCACCCATTTGGAACACCTAGTGGTGTGAGTAACCATGTCACATTCTGGCACAATATATTAGCAAGCTGAGTGATCATCAATGAAAAAAAAATATCTAATGGGTGGTTGCACAAATTCTTTAGAAAATGTCCTCAAAATTCAAAAGCCTGGTTTCTTCTGGGACGCTTTTATCCTAATTTTTAGAACCATATGTTCTCTAACCAGAAATAAATAGATTTTCTTCCAAGCATGTTTTCTAGCAGGATGAAAATCACTGCTATTTTCCCCATTTAAATAGCATAACTTGGGATCTACGTAAAATCACCCTCTAAAAATATGTCTCAAGACAATCGAAAATAGTGTGATGAAGTTTTATTGTCAAAAGTTTTAATTGTCATCTGACAGCCTTCTGAATTTTGTATTGTAGAGTTGTAGTTTTGAAAACTGAGGAATTAGAATTTTATATTATATTTTTTTCATATTGAAATCCATGCAATCAATTTATTTCCCTTTAATCAAGATTTGATAGGTATTTTCTATTTGTTGGAAATGTTTATAGCAATTATTAATGAAGTTTAGTTCAGAAAAAAAGAGCACTGTACGGGTACAAGTTGGTTCATTCACCCAAAATTGTGGGTTTGTTTTAAAATACATTTCTATAGGATTATCAGAATTGTTAGCCTGTTAACAGCAGGTGGTTTTAAAAGGAAAACCAGTGTCATGTACTTCTATTATATTTCTCAGTGACATAAGTATTCTTAGGGTGAAGTTAGTTTATACAGCAGTTTCGGGAGTGCATCCATTCTTGTATATATTAGATATTGACCACAATGGTACAAAAGATTTAAAGACAATATTTTTCCCATCACTACTCACAGGAAGGTAACAGATTGCCTACCAGGGTTTTGATAACTTTAGGAAAAACCAAATCAAGCAGGTGAATTTTGTAGCTACAATGTCATGGAAAGCCCAGTTAGTAATTGTTAGCTGGCTGTGATTTGTTTCTGCATTTTATTCGAACATAATGAAACCTCCTAGCAACTTTTTCAATGTCATGTTCTGGGTTGAGTTCCTAGAAGGCCGTGCTTAGTGACTTACTGCTTAGGATGCACTAGTGTGTAGGTCTTCCCATGGCAGAGGTGCAGTAAATAACACTCTTGGTGTTGCAAGAAGGCTTTTTGAAAATCGGCATTAATTGCACTTGAAACTTCAACTAAACTGACTTTCCAGGTAGTGATGTGGTTCATCACTGAAGCTCTTAGCAGGCTGTCTACAAAGTAGATGAGTAGCTGTGTCTTGTGCAGAAATTGGAGTTGATGTAATTTCTTTCTGAGTTTGGAGGTTTGTTGATTAATATGAATTGCAATAAATACCTCAGGAATTTATAAATGTCAGAGAAGTGTTTAATTTAAACTTAGCTCTGAAGGGATAAAGGGAACGTTAGAAGCTGTAAAATTAGTCTTGTTTTTTGGGAAGAAGTTTCTGACCAGACAATTTGCTGAGTACTTTCTTTGCAACTACAGAGTATTTAGCCTTGCGCTTGATTGCTTGTTTTCCTTCTGCCAGTTTTGTCAATAAAAGAAATAAAACGTTGATGTTATCCAGGAATGTCAGGAATTAGCCCTGGCAGTTGTTGGATTTGATGTATCTGCCACAAAACCAAGATTCGTCAGAAGCATGTAATTTTTTTTAAATTCTTAGCAGAGTATCAGGAAACTCTGGTGCTGTTAGAACTAAGACTTAGCATCTTAGATTTGTGTGATCTAAGTGTTTCATTGTTCTGGAAGGTCTTCCTTTGCTGACACAGTGGAACAGGAATGCAGATAGACACATTTTAAAACCAAGCTGACTATCTCGGGTTCTTTTCTCTTAACCCTGCAATACAACTACATTGTACATTCTTCTGAATATTTCAAATCCCATGAAGTCAAGTGTGAGTAAAAGGACCCAGCCAGGAGCTAAGGTATCATTAAGAACAGTGATGTTAAATAAGAACTTACACAAAAATACATCATAACATATGGGAAATATTTGTCATGTCAGATAGTCACATTTATTGGAAAGGTGGTGTTATTTTAGAAGCTGAAAATCAAGAACAGCAGTATGAGTGCTTTTTACTGTGTCACATATATATACAACAGACCTGCTCTTGAAATAAAACAAGGTTAAATGTACTTTTTAATCAAAATTTCTGAACTGTAAATACAGAAGCCAGTGAACTAGCACCATCCCTGCAGACTGCGTTCTGTGTGCTGCATACTTACCTAGTGGCACAGGTATAATTTAGATGTCTAAATTGCTCAGGCCAGCTTACAGCTTTTGTAGTTCTGAAATAAGAAAGTTTAAGGGTGCACAAACAAAGCACAGGATTCTTTTACTAGCTGAAAATGCGAGGCCAGAGTGAGACAAGATGTGTTTCTGGGTCAGTAAGCTCTGTTACCAGCAATCCTGTTTTTAGCAGTTACCAGCACTGGTGTTGAAAGCCTAAGAATAGGGCAAGTCATGGTGGTAATCTCCATTTGGATACAGTCCAGCAATTTGCAGTGTTGAGGATTTCTTGGGATGGGAATGGAAATGCCTTTCCAGGTACAGCTAGTTAGCCTTGCTTTTGCAGTTCTGTAATACCAAATATCTGAGTAATGTGGTTGGCAACGTGTCAGGTAGTATTTATCTATACATTTTCACCTGAGTTTAATTGATTAATATTCTTGTGATGAAGCAGTTTGCTTGAGCTTCTGAATATTCATATATAGCACCTTGATCCATAATATGGAAGTGCCTAACGTTTATACATTGAAAATAATTTAATATTCATGCCCTTTATCAGCTATCCAGTATGATGCCTTTATAAGGTTTTGCCACTTCAAACCTTTTCAGCTGATTTTTACTCTTGTCCTGGCTGCTTAGTAGTCCTCCCTTCCTCTCACTTCAAGATGATTTGGGTGTCGAGATAAGACTCAAAACATTATATCCTGTGAAAGAGAACTTTATTTTGGCCTCTTACCTGCCAGCATTTCTAAGAACTTCTTTGGTTCTTGTTCTTGAGTGGACATTGTAATTTTTATTATTAGATCTGCAGTTAACAATGAAGTATTGTGGCAGTATTGTGTGCTGGCACAAGAACAGAAAATCTGCTTTTGTGTGGTTTTCCACAGAAGTCAGTAACAGTTTAAAAAAAAAAATTGTCAAATCTTCTGATATCTGTGGAAGCAAGACAGTTGCCTGGAACATAATCACTTTTTTTTTTAATCCTTCATAGAAGATTACAGAAACAGAAACTTGCATGAGAAAACCTGTTTTTCTCAGGGTTGGAATAACCAGTTGCTCTGAAGTCATTCCATGGAAACAGTTGAGTATTAATAAGTAAGAGATGTACTTGGCTCAAATTAATAATTTCAGCATGCCTTAAAAAAGCCAAAAACCCAAAAAGCAAAAACACACAACCAAAATGACAAACCAAACACAAAGCACCTTTTATCTCAGGGAAAGGTGACCTGTGTAGATTCCTTTAGTGTGGTTTTTTTTATAGTTAAGTCCTTTAACTATGAAGTTCTTGTTTATTAATAGTCTTTCTCTAAATGGATGCCATCATTGGGCTGAAATCTGTAATGAAATTCCTGTAAATACTGTACAGTTTAAATGTTTTTATATATAAATTAAAAAAATCTAAGAAGAAAATTGTGTGTCCTTGCCCCTTTATGATTGTTATTTTGTTCTGAAGACTAAATGTGCTTTTGAAGCTCTCAGTTCATGTTACTTACGTAGTGTATGCTTGAGCTTTATTGAGACTCAAAACACTGTTTGGCAGAGATGTGTGTGGCCCACCTGTGTGTGTGGATGTGTGCAGCCAGTTCCTGGATGCTGCTGACCATCTTCATCCTTGGTGTTGCAGCTCTTCTGCCCTTTCATGCTGTTGATGCAGCCTGCAGTAACGTAAGTCCAGTCCTATGCAGCCTGGGGTTGCTCCCTTATGTTCTGTTTTAAAATTATGGACAAGGATTAAATGAGTATTTATTTAACAATGAATGGATTTGAATGGATTCATTGCTACAGAGTGAGGAAAGCTGGCCTTCGTTGGAACTTACTACTGTTCATTAGAAGTTTAAAGATCACAGAAGTCTTATTTGTGTGATGTTTTAATTTCTGCTCTCCAGCCACAGCTTGAAAGAGGAAAAGCATTACAAGCAGAACAAACAATGAGCGGGCAAACCAAGAGGTTCTGCCTGCCAGCTTGCTCTGTCCTGCAAAATTAATCCTGCAGTTGTCAAATCCTTGCAATGTGCACAATACAGCAATGAGTATTGACTCTGATACAGCTTTTTTTTTCTGTGCCAACATCACTTGAATAACAAACTCAAAAATTTAACATCCTTTCAAAAATGCCCTTTCAAAGAGAGTAAATACAATCCTTTCAGACTGAAACTACAGAGCAAAAAGAACAAAAATCAATTCACTTTATTTTCTTTCTGGGCATGTCTGTTTTGTGGCACATTTTGGATGTTTATAGCAGTTCAGTTATTAGGAGGAAGGGTGGAGGGCGTGTGCAGTTCCATTCCAGAAGACAGGAACTGTATGTATTGTGTGCTTTCTGCTACAAGGTTTGGGCCTGTGCTAACTTGCTGCAAATGTGATAAAGTGTGGGATAAATTATAACAAGGAAGGAAGGGTTGCAAAGGCTTGTCTGAATGGCTAGAGGGCAGTGGTGACAAGGAGGTAGAGAGCATCTATGCCACTTCTCAGTCCCTTCTTCTATGTGGCTTCATTTCAAGTATCAGTCTGGCCTTGTATCAGCTTTTATTACAGAACTAATTCATACTTACCCCCCAAATCTGACTAGTAATTTCAATAAAGTACTGTGAATTTGGATGGTAAATTACGAAGAATTAATTTGTCAATTGCTTCAGCGTGTGCAGCAAAACTAGCAATTTTGAGAAACACTAAACTTCATTTAAGACAAATACAGAACAAAGCTTTTTTGTCTTTAAGAATCACAAAGTGATCTTACTGGTTTAACAGTCATGTTACAGTAGACTCGAAACTAACACCTCTGAGAAGTGTGAAAACCAGTTAAGTGTGAAGGGTCCTGTCCTGAAAAGCTCAGAACACCAATTCCTGAATGTTCAGAGTCTATCCACACAAGATTTTCAGCATTGTATTTATTAAGGAAAACAAAAAAGGCTTGTAAAACAGTGTGTATACAAATACAGTAGGTATTTGGAGACAGTGGTGGTAAAGATAATTGTAAGAATGGACTTCTTGGTCTAGAGTTTGCATTTCTTGGATGATGAAGAATGATACTGAGAATTCAAAAGACAATCACAGAACTGAGCCACAGGCTAGAAAGTGTGATGCTTGCAAATTTCTCCTTGCAGAAGAGATGAGTGAAGGGCAGATTCTCTTTTTTCTTCCTTCTATTTATTTTTTCCTTGGCCAGGGAAACCCTTGGAACTTGCATCTTTCCGGGTTTTATTGTCCGAAGTAGCTACCAGATGTGTTTGCTCCTTCTGCTGCCCAATTTTTGATGACAGATATGAAGGCAGGCATCCCAGTTCTGTGTGTCTTTTCCCAAGTGCAGGCCTGCCAACCCCTTGCCATTGTGCCATGTGCTGAGTCAGCCCAGTGTGGTCTGGACCTGGTGATTAGATGCAGAGGCTTCAAACCACTCCCTACCAAAAAAACAAAATAAAAAATCAGTGTGTGGGTCATAGCCTACCAATATGTCAAGAGTTGCCTCAGCTGCCTCTGGTGGCAGTGTGTCAGAGAGCATTGGCCCTACCAGAGTTGAACCTTTCTTTACTTTAGTAGGTGGACCAAGAAAGCATGAGCAATGTTTGTTCTATGAGTTCTGTTGGCCAAGTGAGCACTTGGCATCTTTACTATGCTATGAAAATTACTTAATAAAAACCAACAAATTCTGGAATATTAATTTCATGTGTCTCCAAGTTGGTAGTTTTTTGTCTGCAGGTGATTTGGTGAGGGATCAACAACCTAAAAAGTGTGTCTTGATGAGATTAAACAAGCTACAGCACTCCTTAGTGGTAGGAAAAAATAAATTCTATGGCTTTTCAAGTGAGAAAAATGAACAATTTTAAGGGAACTTGCCATTTAAATGAAAGACTTGGAGCTTTTTTGGGGTTTGGTATTAATTTCAGTTCCTAATGAATGTTAGTGTTGGTTACTAACTTCCTGGTCAATTCAGTGTGTTGCACATTGGTAAATAAATACTGCATGTGCAAATGATGACTTGCTACTTTTGAGCCTTCAGCGGATCTTCATCTTTAATATGGTCAAAAGTCTTCCTGTGTAGATGCAGCTACAGCATTGGAATTTCTAACTGCAATCTTTAAAATGTTGACCCAAGCTCTTTAACAGTGAGAGGTGAAGTTTGTGTGCAGGGAAGGCACACACTGTGCAGTGAAAGTCTGTGTTGCTTCCTCTGCAACTTCTCTGTAAGAACTTGTGTGACGCAAAGTCTCTTCCCTACAGAGCAAGGAAGAAAAATCCAAAAAGTCCCTCCTGCCTCACTGTAGGGGTTTTCTTTGCTTTCATTTTAATTTTTGTTTAGTGTAGTGACTCACTTTCCCAGTCCCCACTGAGCTGGTGAAGGGCTATCCTGCTGCACATGATACACCAGAAGAAGCTGAGGGAGCTGGATCCCTCCAGCCAGGAGAGGTGGCACTCAGGAGAGATCTATTTGCCAACTATATCCAACTGTAATATTTGCAGAAATGGCAGATTTCTGTCTGAAGCTCCCAGTAAAACCACAAAAAAATCTGTCATAAATTGCAGCAGAGGAATCCCACTAGGATATGCAGGAGGAAATTCACATTAAAGGTGATTAACTATGGGATAAAATTGTCACTGTTCCTGTGCTGAGGCTGGACAGGATGACCTCCAGAGTCCCCTCTGAAGACAGGTTTTCCTCTGAGTGCACACTGGCTGTTTAGAAAAGACTGAAAACTACAGCTCCAATTGCAAATAGTCTTTAGGTCTAGAGTAACATAAACCGCTCACTTATTTTTATTTTTATGTCAAATGTCACACATGAGAATGAATTGCCTTGCTTCTGGCAGTGGCTAGAAGTATTCCCTGTATGCTTTGGGTATGCTTCCTTCATCATCCCTCATCCTCATCCAGGCATGTAAGCAATACCCACCCTCACACCCACTGCAAATATCACACTCGCATTTGAAAAGCTAAAGGTCATGCTACAGTAGCAGTTTCAGGCTTACATTTTCTCCTCTTATGTATGGGAAACAACTCTTTCAAGGGCAAAAGAAAAGAGTAACAAGGAGGTGGTCCTTTCAAATTAAATGAGTCAAGTAGCTTTCAGCAAAAATGTACTTGATTTTTACCTCTGGGTAGCAATAATCTGTCCTCAAGAGAAAGAAAGCTGCTTACCCAGCATTCAGATAGGTTTCAATTCCAGCAATGGAAAAAATTCTCATACACATGGTCTTCTCTGTTGGTTCACAAAAATATCAGTTCTGCTGTTTCACAATGGTTTGGATCAGAAAGATGCTGCAGTGTAGCTACTAGCTAGGATGAGCTAGTAGCATAACTACTTATGTGGATTCTGCTGGGCTAAATAATGCATTTTAACTTCCCACTTCTTCATAACGTACTGTTCAGAGTAGCCTTAATACCTTAATATTGTTTACAAAAGTTCTCATATTTCAAATAGCATTGCAGTGTGAATCATCCTGTGTTCCTCAATAGTTTACATTTTGAAATGTGCTATATACAGTATATATACACCGTATATGCACTATATGCATATTCTGTGAAACTCCAGGCATATATGTATGTACATGTCTGTGTGTGTGTGTGTGTGCAGCTGGTCCTTCTGACTGTGGTGACTTCATCACACAAGGCACTGAAGCAGCGTGACTGAGGCCAATGAGTAGCACAGGTGCTAACAGCTGCTATTGCAACAGCGGCTGTTTCAATGCCAGCAGAAATTACCTGGAGAGATTGCTGCAGAATGCCGAGCCCAGCGGCAGATAAAACACTATCAGAGTGCAGTGCACAGGAAACCCTGGGTGTTTTCCAACACCCATGTGACAGGCATTTCTTGCCCCATCTCACCACGTGGCACAGCAGCCTTTTCCGAGCAAAACCCACTGGTGCCAGCAGGCTGGGCCTCAGCTCTGCTTTCCTAGGAGGAACCAGCATCAAAAGGAACTTTGACAAAGGTCCACACTTCAGCTCCTGGCAATGGGCTGCTTCTTGGGATATGGGAAGGTGTGTACAATTCAAGTAAACAAATACATGACCTGTGACTAAACACTGATGACTTTTCAGTCTAGTGATTGGTTTGTAAAAATTCCTATTCCCGTACTTGAGCTCATATAACATGATGAAATACTAATTGAATTTGGCGTGGGAAACTATTTAAAGTAAATAAATGATTTAAAATTTTTTTTTTTATCTATCCATTTCCATTGGAAAATGGATAGATAAACAATCTGCAGCCAGAGATAGACTTTCTGACTTCTGCCTTCAGTTTGGTGGGGTTTCTTTCCTTCATTTTTTCTCAGTTCCTTAATTCCCTTAATTTGTTTGACTAATTCATTATTCAAAGCTACACAGTTAGCATTTTACTATATATGGGGCAGGTTTGGTGCTAGTATAATGAGGTATAAATTATCAGCTGAACTGAGACCCTGTGCTCATCTATCTGACCAAAATCAGCTTCCTGACTAAATGTTGTTCAGTTTGCTCAATATAACTAGTGGCCTTTAAATAAGTTCATTTGAACCAGAACTTGCACTTTTTTTGACCTGACAAGACTTCTGTTTCCACCTTTTCCCAAAGTAAAGATGATTTCCTGAAAATTATTTGTAGACAGGTAGACTTCACATCCATTACTCCTTTTATGGAAACTGTTACACATGGGCTGCACAAAGTCTTATAAAATTAACATTTTTCTCCTTTTGCTTATCATCATGAGTTTGTAAAAAGAGAAAATATCCTGACTTTTACTTAGTTCCACTAGTGCATGAGCAGTGAAGTACCAGTGGGTGTCAGCATCGGGGAGCTTTTGGAGAGGGAAGAGTAAGGGGCAAGGCTAGGCAGTAGCATCATGTTCACCACCAGCAAACAAATTGTCTAAGCTTTCCACACATCCCAGGAACACAAAGCTCATCTCCCACCAGGCCGACGTGCATGTGGCATTAAATCATTTGCAAGCACAAAGTGAGATTTTTTTTCACCGGAGAGCCCCAGCATCCCCAGCCCTGGGGTCAAGCTTGCAGGGATGCGCATATTGGGTGGGCAGGATCCAGAGGATAACACTGACAAAGCAGGCAGTGTTGCAGCACACCTGCACCAGTTGAGGCATACGATTACGAGCAGTCTGAAAGTCCAACCCAGAGTGGCACTTTGCCCTAGGGGCTGGGCTTACCTTCCTAATTCCAGTCTGGAAGATTAGTCCTGCAACTTCCCCAGCATCCCATCATCTCTCCCGCAGCCATCATGGGGAATGTGATGCCCAACAGCCAGAAGTGATTTCACAGCCCCTTATTCCTCCAGTGACAGCCCCCTAGATGGTGTCCTGCCACCAGCACACCTGCAAACTTCATCTCTTGCTTTTGGCCCAGTGGCAGTCCATCAAACCCAAAGCACATCCCATAGGTAGGTCTTCTATATCTTTGGAGCAAAAGTTCCTCTGTTCTTCAGCTTTGAGCAACTAGTGAGCTGAAAATAAATAAATAAATAAATATTTAAAATACTAGTATTTTTTAAGAAATGCAAGCAAACAAGAAATCTTCTGTGACAAATTTATTAGGTAAAGCAATATTGGCAGATATCATCTGGGAATTAGTGTCTTTAGAAAAGGACATTTTTCATAATGGTTTGGTTCATAATTACTTCCAAATTCTACATGACCACAGCTGCCAAGAAAGAACAATTGCTCATGTTCAATTTAGAGCTACTCATATGTTTTCAGCTAAATTAAACCAAAGCCAAACTGGGGAATTTGGAAACCACTGAAAATAAGGGGAACTCTGGAGTGCTTAACAATTACTTCCTCATAGGACAAGCCCAAGAGGAAGAGAGGTGCTTTTCAGTCATGGAGCTGCTCTCCTAAGCATGAAGAGAATCATGTTTTCCTTCCTCTGCTTACTGATGCATATGCTTCAGGATGAGACAGCTTGTAAGTAAGGGCTTTTTGCTCTTTTCCTGTATGGGAAGGGAAGGGGGGGTTGGAGGACAGGGCTTGTTATTGAATTTTTGGATGAGTCAAGAAATCTCTGTATCTTTTGGTGGGTTTCAGAAGCTAGTCAATTTCAAATTAGTTTGTTATTTTATCTTTCCAGGTTCTAAAATGCAGATAAAAGGAATGTGTTGCCCATTAGATTTTTTCATGGCTGTATTACCAGTTTCAGCAGCCAGTACAAATATTATCTGATTCTGTTCTGTGCCAGGGTAAAAGCTGCTGTCATCTGGGTTGCAAAACCCACAAAAATATTAGAGCTTGAATGATTCAGTGGTTGTTAACTGAATCGGTTATAAATAATATAGCAGTTTGAAAAGAAATTATCTTGAAAACTGTCAGACAGCTTTTCCAGTGGTACAGACAGGAAAATAAGTGAATTTTAGATTATTGTTTATTAGGCAGGAGCTGGTAACCATGAGGCAACAGTTAAAAGAGCTATAATCTCTTCAGGTTAAAGCTGAGTTGTGGAGTAAAGAGGCAAAGAGTACTTGACTTTTAAGTATTAATGGTAATGCTCACTGCAGACTCTGTGAACAGATTTGAAGGGTTTCTTTCCTGGGATGTGCATGAGGCATCTTTCACAGCAGCAAACTCACTAAGGAAAAATATACCAGTAAACCAACAAAAAAGAAAAAAAAGAAAAAGGAAAACAAAATAACAACAAACAAACAAACCTAAAACAAACAGCAAAAAACCCCACCTCAAACACTCAGACTACATAAAAGTATTCCTTTCATAGTTCTAAATGCGTTTCTTCTGTAACTTCTTGACTTCGTGACTTGGAAAGTTTTGAATGTGAGATCCAGGAAATTTAATTTCCCTATGGTCTGCTAGGCATGAAACGAAATGGTCTGCAGCAATACACTCAGATTCCAGTATGGAGGAGTGTGCCTGTGACAAACACGTTATCTTATCATTCCTTCTTATCTGCAGCCTTTTTAGTTTTGGAAAACCAAGACCTGCAAGATTCGATTAAGCCACAGAAGGTAGAGTTCCATTCGTTAAATTTCAACACCACTTTGCATTGGCAGCCTGGGTGGGCCAGAGAGGCGAGAGATGCGCTCTACTTTGTGCAGTACAAAGTGTAAGTACTGGGGCCTCCCACTGTGCTGGGGCTTAGCCCTGCTGGGGCTAAAATGATTCCTCAGGTGACAGGATGTTCTCATTCCTGGGGAACAGCCACATTCTCCTTGACTGCCGGCTCGCAGTTGTTTCTGCTCTTACCAATCCCATGAGGTGCAGTCAAGCAGCATAAGGCACCTCCAGCACTATGCTCTGCACCCTCATTGACCAAAGGTTTGAAGCAAAATGTGGTTTGTAGGGGACCTCTGAAAGTCACTGGGTCCAGCCACCTGCTTCAAGCAAGTCTAGGTAGGTCAGGTTATTCTGTAATAGAACATTAAATGTATTTCAGTGGCCTACCTTGCCCACAGCATTGTCTTAGGGCTCCTTGCATGGAAGGGTTGAGGCAACATTAGGGGCTGGTCTCCGGGGTCTGCTCCTATCCCTGGCACACTGGTGAGTCCCTGAAATCACTACTGCCCTCGGGAAACAGTTTGGTGAAATCCAGCATTCTGCCCATCAGTGAACACACTGGCTAAGCTGTGGCTAAGAGGTGGCTTCCGACAGGGCTGGTGACCCATGTCTCTGCTTTAGATTTCTTCCAGAAAATACAGAAACCTGTAGCTCCCAAGCACCCATGAAATCAACCTTACCTGTTAGCAAATTGAAGGCAGTTAATTTTCATGGCCTGATGCTTGTCAGTGCCACGAGAGTAAAACAGGTGGCTGAGAATCTGCGTGGACATGGGCAGTGATCCTTAAAGTTTACATCCTTCCTCCTCTTTCTCCATAGGTATGGGCAGAGCACGTGGCAAAACAAAGACGAGTGCTGGGGGATTTCAAGCTGTGTCTGTGACCTAACACATGAGACCTCTGACATCCAGGAGCCTTACTACAGCAGAGTGAGAGCAGCCCTGGCTGGTGTCTACTCCAACTGGAGCCTCAGCTGCCGATTCACTCCTTGGAGAGAAAGTAAGTACAAACATATGTGTCCCTCCGGAAGGAATTTGATCTTCCATGGCATGGAAAGTATAATTTCTGCTCACAACTTGCAAATATGGGTAATCCTTTTCTAGCCACAAGGCTGTTTGTAAAGAAGTGAGTCAATAGCTCTCAGGTGAAGTGTTATTCCAGAGTAATTCTCCACACACTTGAAAGCCAAGCAATTATGGCTAAATAACCATTTACCAGTAATTAGGACATCAAAAGATCCCTTTAATTCAACCTCTTACTCTGGGCATGGAAATACAGAAATCATTTTCTGGCATTTTTGGAGTTGCTGGAGGAAAGGACTGAAGACAACAAAAAAAGAAGCATTTTTCTTTGTGGGGAGAAGAGAGGACAGAGTGTGTGAAGGATAGCAGAGTGCTGCTATTCTTCTCACATTTATGTGTTGTCCTGACTGCAGGAAAGGACATGTGCAAAGCTTTTTGGCTAGCACTGTCATTATAGCGTCAGAGTATGTTAGAAATGGAGGACTGCCCAAACACTGAACAGTAGCAGTCTACCTACCAGTAAGTTCACCATTAATTAACTAGTTTTCCCCTCACTGGCCAATGCAAAATCAAAATGTCAGTGTGGGTCACTTCTCAGCCCCGAAGTGCAAACCACCTTGAGCGTCCTGCACAGATGAAACCACAAGCTTTGACCTAAAGTACCTTGCAGCAAAACCAGAACACCTTGCCTTGTGCTGCCTCCTCCTCCTGGAGAGATTCGTGTTGCAGCTGCTGCCCATGTCCCCACACTGCTGGTGCTGCACACACACGTATGCAGGCACTGGCTTAAGCCTTAGCTGTGTTTAACCAAGCTGATTGCAAAATATTTGAAAGTGATGACGTAAACTGCATCCTTGGCACAGCTGAAATAGTTTAAATGGATGTTTTGTGCAGAAAGCATAAAGACAAATACAAGGAAAAAAAGCAAATCAGGGCAATTTTGGAATTCTGCTTGATCAGTCAGCACTTAGCAACACCAGCTCTAAGGGATTTCAAAAATGGCTCAAATATAGCTTTACAAACACGGGAAATGCCACCTCCAAAATAACAATAACCAAACCAAATAAACAAGAAGTAGGAATTCACAAAATGTCACTTGAGGAGTAAATGCAGCCTAATATATTGTTGGTAAAAGGAGCACTTGTTGAATGGGTTCAAATTGCATTCTAGGAAATATTATTCATAAACAATAACCGTGTTTATAGCTTTGGGGTTTTTTTCCATAGCTATGATAGGACCTCCACTGGTAACTGTGGCTCATAGCAACAAATCCATAACAGTAAAGCTCCAGGCTCCACGTTCTCCCTATAGAAGGAAGAGAGGCAGCAAAATATCAATGACAAATTATTATGATCTGCTGTTTCAAGTCTTCATAATTAACAACTTGCTAGATGAGGTAAGAGTATATTCAGATACGAACCCTTTGCCATTGAATAGCCAGAAAAGTGTGAACGCTGTTTTGCTGTTGAAACAGTCTTCTGGGATTGTGAGAGCAGCAATGACTGTGCAAGTGTTTGAAAACAAAGTAGGCTTATTTTTCAGGAATTGAATTTGATTGAATTGAGTTGTAATTCCTCCCTGTATTATTTTCCATCAACTTAATACTTCATAATCTATGACCTAGTTTAAAAAATTGGGACAGGAATGGAATTTGGGTGGGGAAGGGAATTTTCTTTAAAAAGCATAAATAAATTATTAATGCTATTGAGATTGTGTAAGTCCATATGCTGTTCTGCATCCTCTGTTCTCATCAAACTTTACTGACAGACACACTTGCTAGGGAAATGTGCTTGACTGGCTCTTCTTTCTCCCACTCTGTATGAAGCAAAACAGGGTCCTGGTGTATGAAGGGAAAAACAAGGTTATTAAAATAGAAGATTTGAGGCCTGGAGTCAGCTACTGCATCGTGGCTAAAATGTACATGCCAATGCTGGACCACAGCAGTGCCTACAGCAGCAGGCAGTGTACTGTGCTGCAGTGACAGGGCTGGCACCACTGAGACAGGTAAGTCACTGTCTGAAAGTGGAGATGACTCTGGAAGTCAAGTTTATCCCCTCATCAAAGGCAGATACTCTCCAAAAGTAGAGAAAAAATTGTGTCCTAGAAACTGCTATCCCACATGACAATAGTAGCTGGAATACTTACATAATCTCAGATGCACACCAGGTAAGAATGATAAGGCCAAGATAATTAGAGGAATGGGATAGATAATTATTTGCCTGTTGGCACTGTCCTCAGAAATATCTGCTT